TAATGGCGGCGGTGGCGGTGGCGGCGGCAGCGACGGTTAACCAATGGCGGACGTGCGGCGCTGTAGTTTAGCAACATGGAGAATGCAGTGGTGAACTTTCTACGCGCCTGAAAGAGAAAGATGGTTAAGTATGAAAGAGAAGCTGTACCGTTCAGGGTCTTCATCATCGCAAAGTCGGTAAGGCCGGTAACTATTATTGATTTTCCATTCTTCCCAACGGCGGGAAATGATCTTTCATTCGCTATCACACTGTGGCATATTCGAATTCCTTTGCATATAAGTCTATAGGAAATTATTCCATGTTTCTTTTTTTGTATTGGACTGTTGATAATTGTAGCAGTTTATTCGTTGTTATTGATTGCGATGATGAAGAGAAGGATAAACCTATTTAGTAATTCTTATTATGTCGTAATACTGACCGAAGAAACGGGCTTTGTAATCGACTTTATTCAGACAAGCTTTGGTGAAGTATCGACCGTTCAGAGGTATGTGTAACAACAGGTACGTTTGATTCTTTTTTTCTTTTTCACATTATTGCGAATAATAGAATGAAACGCTTTTAACATGGAAAATTATCGTTGTTATACATTAAGTATGACGCAATTTCTGTGTTACCGCTTTTAACGTATATAACAGTATTATTGCATTTTAGTTATGGATATTTTAGTTATCTGACTCTCTTGGTAAAAAATTAAATGTCGTACATAATGTGAACATTTAGATATTATATTTTACACATATTTACAAATTTTTCTGTAAAACTGTTTGCAAAATTGTTTAAACATTTGAAACATACTGAACATGATTAATATATAAAATTTTACTTATTTATTAATGATTTACTTGAGGAATTACTTGCTACTTATCAAGCAAGGTATTACATCAGTATACCTGTAAGATCATATAAATAGTTAAATTGCTGTTCTCTTATAAAATCTTCAGATTCTTTAGAAAAAGGAAATTTCATAAAAAATAAATAAATTATTTTTTATAGTATTGCATTGGTGTTGTCAAATAGAAAATTTCGAGTTTTGTATTCATATGATATTTTGTAAAATTAAATACAATTAACTAAAACATTGTAAAGTTGCATACCAATCAATACTAATCATAGAATGTGATCTTTGAAATAATTTTATAATTTAATTCTAGAGTATAGAGTTAAATTTTATAATTTAGTTATAATCTAATCGAGATATTTTTCGTCAGAAAAGCTAAGATTTTCACGAATTTTTTACAGGTACGCAAAAAATCTCTTATCCGCTATACTTTACAGAGCTTTCCTAAAAATACCAGCGAGGAAGTGTGTAGATATCTAAAAATAAGCTTCCGTTTTCTCTGTGATATAAATATGAAATTTCTATTGTAAGCATACGTCTGTATTTCATATGGTATATTTCAGGCAGAAGATATCAATTTTTACATGCCCGTTCACTAAAAGGAACAAGAAACAAATCATATAACACCGAATATATTAAACAAATTACACGAAGAAAATATTATCAGGAGATACACGTACGCCATTTCAAAAGAAGATCGTCCTTATCCATGCGTTTGATTGCAACAGTAAGTAACAAAGTCTGTTGGAGAATGGTCAACAATTTCGAAAAAAGAGAATTTCAGGAAACGCAAAACAGTTTCCTACGTTTGCCAGGAGCGTTGTCGGTGTTGAATGTTAAGAGATTGGTGGAGAACGGGGGTCGAAAATAACTAACAAGTCAAAAGAGGAAAGGAGAACGATTCGACGGCTCTTCCGAGAGGTAGGGGGTGGTTCTCGCTGGTTCTCTGATGCTTTCGCTTTTCCGAGTCCAGTGTGTTTCGCCACCCAAGAAACCCGCGTGCCTTGCGTTCGAACGCGAAGGTAGGTGCTCGTCGCTGTGATTGTCACGCTTCGCATTTTCGTCCTGTAAACTCAGAAATTTCGTGACCCAGGAGATGATTTATTTCACGAGCGAAACAGAGAAGCAAAAGTTTATCTTGGATTCTTCGAAAAATCGAAATACGTACCTACGAACGGATCGTGTTGAAGCAGTATAGAAAACCGAGGAGTTCTTAATTTTGATTAATTTTCTCTTCAGTTTTGATTTCAATCAATTTTTTAATAATAGTACGTGGTACTTTATAGAGAAAGAAATACACGTGGTATAGGTTTGAAGTTTATCGCGTTTCGACGTACGAACTTGTCATAACATACACGCATCAAGGTTTATTACAATTTACAACTTACAAAATAACGTATGATATGTGTTACTATCTGAAAATTTTCGGCGATGACGGGAACGAATGAGAATTCACGTGCCCGCATATTTTACGCTAAGCAATATTATCTGACATTGAGGAGCGTATAAATTACAAACGATATTCGTACTAGGATAAAATTATATCGTATATTTTATCTGTTTCACTGAAAGAATAAAGTATTCTATTTTATTTATTTTATTTTTCGTAATAACTTTTCACGTTTATCATAAAAACATCAGAAAACTCCCGTTTATTTTATTATCGGACGATTCGTTTATCGTACAATTTAAGGAATATTCAAATATTTGCTTGAAACGTGAAACGATAAGAAACATATTCCGCCTGCGCCATTAACTTATCTACGTTTTGCTATCTTTTTCTCTATACTACATGGCGAATGAACAAAAATTTGTTTTGCTTCCGCCTTGTGCTTTATTTCCTTGAGAATGCAATGTACCTTAACAGAGCTTCAGATTTGCTATAAAAGGAAAAATCGTCAGTAGTCGACGTCGATAATATGTGATTACGAAATCGATCGAATATATTGTATATATCAACAATTATGTATCTAGTAATTGATTTTTCAAGCGGTCGTTGGTAACATTCGTTCCGAATGATTATTATCGACTACGATATTAGCGATGTTATCCGTATTAGACGGTAGACTCAGAACCGAGAAACGTTTTGTCTGCTCCTTTATCAATATTAAATCTCGAAATATGTACCTACTTACAATTGCCTCTAGGAAATATAACCTTTTCATTGCTATCGCTTTCGTTCTCCCGAAATCTAAATAAAACAACCAGAATTCACGTATGTGCTTTATTTACGATATGTACTTACTCACAATTTCCTCTAAGAGACATAATCATTACATTGCTATTACTTTCATTCGTTTAAAGTCTAAACAAAAGAATCAGAGTTCAAGTATGTATTTTATTTGAAAATGAAATTTCAGTGTTTGTCAATTTCATTGTTTCGAATTTTGAAGAATAGTGTTTGAGATTTGAAAAAGTTCGTTGCAACATGAAAACGTAGCCAAAAGTTTTTACAGGCAGGACATTGTTTTACAGTTAGCGCTAAAATAGATAACACGAACATATAAGTAACTACACAAGTCACACGGTTGTTTGGAAAACAAGGGCAAAGTCCCAGTTTGTTTCGAACATTTTTGGTCACATTGCCAGGCTACGTAAGATACTGGGAAGTATCTATATACTTATACACATATATATAAAAAAAGTACACGATCAAACATTTTTAGACATGAAACTATGTATCTGCAAGGTTTTTTGGAAAACTGGCACGATTTGTTACTGGCCAACGCGACGTGACGATCGAAATCGAATCTTCACCAGCAGCATCACTAAAGCATCGTCTAAATACCAACGAACGAGCTTGGAATAGATATCAGTTATGTAAAGGGAACGTAATGTGGATTGTACGTGTCTCGAAAAACAGCGTTCGTTACAGATTTCCGAGACTAATTGTCGCCAAATCTTTCGAAAGGCTTGGCCGGCTTTCCGGTATCCGGTAGCGGCTATCGAATCCCCAATTCCGCTGTAATCTAATACAAGAAGTACCATTGGGTGCTCCGGGTCACGAAGTGGAAAGAGGGAGATGTAGAGATTTTGCGGACGATGCAGATATATTCGGAGGAATTTCGTAGCAAAAATAACTACGGTAGACTACCGGTGGCTGCTCACTAGTGACGCGTCAAAGAGAATTTGAAACTTTCGTAAGATAAACGTGAGCTTTGCTCGTGTTTATTTTGCTCTTTGCTCTTCGTTTTTTAATTCTTCGCTGTTTTCGTCCGAGTTTCCGGTCATTAGCGACGATATAGGTATAACCGAGTTCCAAACTGACATGAAGATTCAACTAATAGAATACGAGGTCCTTCCATTCTGACAGATTCGAGTTATCGGCTTTTGTGTATTACTGAAATTTATCTATTCATTTCATTTTTAAATGTTAGATCGAACCGTCCAAGATTTTATCCTAATACAGGTGGTTTAAATTATGTTCTATTCCTTTTTGTGTAACTTGGACGCACAAATTATATTCTTTTCTTTCTTCTTTAATAAAAAAATATATTAAATACGTTTGGAAGTAGATTAATATTTTTTTATTATTTATTGGGGTAGCAATTCGATCAAACTCATAATCTTTTGATTATGTAATCGGGTTTTTTCGTTATTTTACGTGTATGCGTGCATGCATGCATGCATGCGTACATGTGTGTATTGTATTGTATAATACATTTCAAACTTGTTCTTTTCATTTTCACTATTAGTTACACTAGTTATTGATTCTTCATTCGTATTCCACTTATTTTCTTCCACTTATTATTCCATTTATTATCACATTAGATTGTGATAACACAACTTAAAGTTTTCAAAATAATTATTGCATTTGAGAGGTTTTATAAATGAGAAATTATACACATGTACAATAACTAGAAATATGAAAATTTTTATAGGATGATAAATTTTACTTTAATCGTAAGGGCAATCCAATACTTCAACTTCTAGAATGAATGTAATACAAAGGGCAAAATAATTTTTCATTTTAATTTAAATGTATCCTTTGTCTTTCATTTTTTTCAAGTAATTTTTACTTTAAAGACGGAACCAGTATATAAGTAAGATTTGAAAATAATTCCTCCGCCATTAAATATTTCAATGTGAAATTATGGCAAATTTAATGGATATTTAAATGTAAAAATTAAAATGGATATTGTACAATGCTGTTATCGAGGAATCATAAATATATATGAAATATATGTGTGAATATATATTAAACATTGTGAAAAAGTAACGAATTTTAAAGATATTATTATAACTATCAATTATACCAATACATTTTATACTTATTGTATTCTTTTTTTATTTTTTTTTTTTTGTTACTGTTTCTGCTATAACAAAATAACTATTATAAACATTAACCATGCATCAGGGTAGCTACTATTACATCCCTCACAAGTGGTTGTGTACACGGTAAACAAGACGTTTCTATTTCTAAAAGTCATATACATATGCCAGTGAACTCGAAGTATACGTGGCGAATTGCGGAGGAATCAGTGCTATAACATAGCGAGTCAGAAGACGAAGATGTCCAATGACTACCACTTGCTCAGATTTCGCGGTTCTGACTGTCTCTCTTTCCGCACGATGACGATACACCCCTGTATATTTCTTGGCATGAATTTTCCAACAACGATCACCTCTGGTTTGGATATCGAATATCCAAACACTCAGCGAACGATCCCGAATCATCGTGCTGCGTGCGACCTACTTTGTTGCGAAGTTGTTTGTATAATACTTGGTTACAATATGCGTTCAGTTCGACGATGAATCATCGTTGGCTACTGATATTTATGTTACGAGATCTATGGTCTATTCGATTGCATTCTTCTAATTATTCGCGTGCCAATCCAGGGTAATGTATCGTTGAATCGAGATCAGTAGGCACGTAATTAATTACTGACATAATTTCGGCCCAACAACAACGGCAAACTGCGCGAGAGATTTGTTGAATTTACTAAATTAACCACAGATGTTAAATTAATGTTCGATTAACAGAATGATTTAATCGAAATCTCGTGTTGGTTTGCCAAACGATAATTATACAAATGACCCGCGCATTCTGCCTAATTTGTCCCACATATGTAAGCAATTTACGAAGGATACTGTAATACGCAGATTCGTGAATATCGTTCGAGCGACAATTTTAAGGTAAATAGATAGCGTGACTAGTAGCCATATCATAGATGTTAATTATGCCTATTTTTACTTACAAATAGTTACGTGCACATTTCTTTATGAAGGTCAATATTTGCGCATTTTACAAGTCGTGTAGCGTTATTCAAAGAAACGGGCTTTGTGTTATATTTCTGTACTTTTAACAAGGCAGACTGAAATAGTTAAACGAATAATTGTAGCACAAATTAAAGAATAATTTATAATTATTGTTACAATACTACGTCAAATATTAATTCTTTGGAATATATTCAAACTGATTAAATATGGCCTAAATATTACAAGAAACGGCTATGATATATTTTACGTGTATCTTATTCTTCTTTTTTTTATTATTTTCTTTCCAATAAATATATTTTCCTGGCTGTGTGTTAAAGTGAGCAACTATGCGTCGCTCGGACCTTTGAGAGGATAAATATTTTGAACTTTGGGGTTGTACAGTTGAATCTCTCTTTGAGAAGTTAAATCTTCGTAAAATTATTTTTTTAATATTCATATTTTTCTTCAAATTCTCACTTGTTTAACACTCACTTTACACATTCATTTCCCCAACATCTTTTCTAGGCTACCGAAGAATATTCAATAATATTAACATTTCATCCACAACACGAATTTCGATGATTTTTTAATATATTGTCAGAGGCATGATTCTGAACATCTTTTTCTTATACATGTAACCTGCGGTCGAGCTTACTTTCAGAGATATTCACAAAGAACTGTCGGTACCAATATAGTGGAGTTTACCTATAGGCGACTTTTTGTAGACAACATTGTAAGTACCAAACATCAGATTTTTTAGATGCGAGAAGAAGCTCCTCTGACTAAAGATTATTTTCAAAATTTAATTTGTTTTGACTATTGTAGGATCTTGTGTAAAATAGTTCAAATTAAAAATTTTCTTTTTCTTTGCACTAATGTAATCGAAATTCATCAGTAGAAGAATGTGTAAAAAAGCCTGTATATTCTACTTTTTAGTTATAGAGAAAAATGAATGTATCATTCATTTAAATTTGCATATATTGAATCTTATTTGTCCCTAAATAATTTGTATAGAAAAAAATATATTTTTTCAAGATCTTTTTATTTTTATTATAAAAGTATATTTTATAATGTTCCGCGTAAGAACTGAAAAATAATTATTACAATATAAATTAATATAATATAAATATAATATAAATATTATTGTATTGATTATAAAATTGGTGATATTTAGTGTCCATGTGTTCTAGCATGTCTATTGTTTAACTTATATCGTTTCATACAGAGGCGAACAGATGTTGAACATACCAGTGGCATCACCTTTATTTACAATCTTTATTTACATCCAATTATTTACAAATGGAAGTTGCTTTTAAAATCTGTATTATAATGTTCCCATTGGCATGTAACACATTATATATACGATAAAAAGCAACATGTTTGTATTTTTGCATTTACATTGTTGTCTACAAAAAATCTTCAATTGTTCGTCCGTCACAGCGTACGCGCTTAATAATGCTGCTTCATGACGGCCGAATAATGTAACGCCCAACCTAAATCTAATTCTTATCCTTTGTTTATAGCTTTTGTATATAGGTTTTGGTTAAGTATCAGTTGCTGTGAAGGGGCCGTCAACCAATGCTAACGCGTATGCTGTGATATATATAGTGATACCGACAATTTTTTGCGAATATTTCAGAAACTAAGGCCGAGCGGCGGTTATATGTATAGACAAAAGTTGTTCAAAATGTTGATTTCCGCAACATATCTAAAAATCATTGAAATCGGTGAGGTGGATGAGGTACTAATAGTTACCGGATATGTATATTGTTCATGTCAAATTTGATACGGATATGTTTACCGATATAGAACCCTTTACAGAATATATATATATATGTGTGTATATATATATATATATTATATAAATATTTTCACTTTTATGTACATACGGTAAGTTACAAAGTATTGGTACACCTTTTATAACAGAAGAACTTTTTTTTAAATTAAACTAAACGATTTGAGTTTTTTTGAGAGGCTAGAAAAATTAGTTCACTAGATGATGTATAAAAGAAATGTTGAGAAGATTGAAATTGGAAGAATGGCGACGAAAGTAGAAAAGGTCGCCTTGTATAACTTTTTTGTGAATCTACAGTGAAAATTTCAAAAGTACATTTTGTAATTTTATGTTAGTTATTCATATTGAGAATTGTATCGAAATTGGTCGATGCAAAAACAAGCTAAATTTATCACAGTAATAAGCTGAAAGTTCCGAAAAACTGCGATTTTTACCATTTTTAACCGTTCGTAGCTTATATCAGTGTTAACTAATTTCGATAAAATTTTCAACATGTATATGACTGATATAAATGTTCAAAATGTGTTGTTTAAATTTTTATTACAACATTTGTATAAGGAGACCTTTACTGTCTTCATTGTTATTCCTACCAATTTCAATTTCCTCAACATTTCTTTTACACATCATCTAGTGAACTAATTTCTGTAACCTCTCCAAAAATTTCAAGCAGTTTGGTCCTATTTTTAAAAAGTTATTCTGTTTTAGAGTGTAGGAATATTTTTGTGACTGACTATACATATATAGATACATGGTATGCTCTCTCTATATATATGTGCATATATATATATACTCTGTAGTCTATATACATATAATACAACATTACAAATGTTTAAAATATTTTCGAGGCACACAAAATTGTTAAAACTTAAATATTTAATATTATATCAACTATAGAAAATCTATAAAATTATTACATGTGAGTTATTTCTTATTAGCAAAATTCATAATCAAATGAAAATAACGATAACAGTAGATATAAATATCTATTTTCTCTTCAAATTTTAGTTTTATATAACTTTTTACGTACCTTTGTCTTTTCGTTATTTTTCAGAATTAAAAGGTGATTGCGCAAAAGCACAAGCATGTCTGCGCAGAGGGCAATGTTCGTGAACAAACAATTCAACTCTCCTATCAATTTGTATTCACCTCAAGCAATACAGGAAACTTTGGATAGGCAAACTCAAGTTCTAGCTAATGGTGCAGTTGGGTAAGTCGATTTTTCTATATTCAAGGTTGATAAGTTTAACAATACAAATTGTGCCACCACTTATCATTTGTGTCGAAATCCGATATGCGGTGTAACTTTTGAAAATATCTTCTGTTCTCTGTTCTACGTTACACATGCCAAAAAGTAATTTACGTGGTTTTGGTTATATAACTATTAATAGAGAGAAAAAGCAATCCAATTTCAATTTCAATATGTATAATCCATAATATACATTTCTCAGAAACAACTATACAACTATACACTTCAATAGTATATTTTCTCACACACTACATAATACACTTATAAAGTACACAATTTATTTAATTATCTTACTTGTAATATATAATTCGTCTTAACTAAATATTATGTAATACGAAAATGTAGATACTTCCGTTTTCATGGCACATTTTACATATTTTCCGAGTTATTTTACGAGTAAAAACTTTATTTTATTCGTTGTAAATTCTCCAAATACTAAAAAATAATTGTACTGCTGATTCACAATGCTATAAGCATGCAGTAATGGAAAGAAACGCGTTGAACAATATCGACAAAAATAATTCTTCCCTCACCGAGTCACTTAGATCGCTGAAATAGAAAATCACACGTTACCTCGATAAAAATCTATAATTAGTTCATCCTTTCTTTATCTTTACAACTTTTCATAATATGTGCACAATATGTCGTTACCATTTTTATTTAATTACTTCTTCTTCGGCACATTATTTTCGTCGAAATTTTTGTTTCGATTTATGCAATCTGTAGAATTTCTAGAATTCCAAGAATTTGTTCAAGTTTAAAATGGTCCCATAGTGTAAACTAGCAAACTAATTTAGCAAAGTAATTATAACAAATAAATAATGAACAATATATAAAAACTGATTAATCGAAACGTCAATCTGTATTACATAAAAAGCCAGCCAACAATTTGTGCATTTAACGTTTAACCAACCGATTCTAATTAAAATTGGCAATTTCGTGGCGCACGTCAGAATCCGGAAGTGTCTCGAAAGATGAATAGTTAAACACGTTGAGAAGATGAGAAGACAGAGGATTCATTGGCACCGCGACCACCTTGCGTCGATCAAGATAGACTGCACCTGGTCCACGTGTGTCGTTTGACGGATTCATATCGATCCTCCCGTCAACGTGTGGCTGCTGACCGGTTGCAAGTCGATGAATCAGCCTTCTCGCCGTCATTGG